CGCCGAATCGAGAGTTTGCTCATTTTAAAAACATTTGCATACTTGTTTGAATTGAAGGTACATTGTAGGTCAGTTTAATAAAAAGTGTTCGTGTATCATTTGAAATTTCTACAAAAATGGAAAACTAAAACAACTTAAGTAGTCATATTTTAAAATCAATAAATTAATTAAATGTGTTTGAAAACAGAATGTGAAATTCATTTTTATATTTGTTTTGATAGTCGGGATACTTCTATAAAGCTTGCAATGTGGTTTTGGTATTGAAATCATTTTCAGCAACTATAATTTTTTAATCATTGTTTAAAGCACTATTGAAATAAATATTTCAATCACTTTTGAAATCTACATTTTAATCACTACTGAAATCTTTATTTCAAAAGCGAACATTACTTCAATAGTGGTTGAAACCTATGTTTGGTATTAAAATGCACTCAACCACTATCGAAACTAGTATTTCAATAGTGGTCGTATTTCAATAGTGGATCCAACCTATATGTTTGTTATTGATATGCACTTTTAACAACTACTGACATAATTAATTCAAAAGTGGTCGTGTTTCAATAGTGGTTGCAACCTGTGTTTGCTATTGAAATGTACACTCAACCACTACAGAAATAATTATTTCAACAGCAGTCGTTATTTCAATAGTGGTTGAAATCCTATTTTATTGCTAGGCAAACCACAGTCTAAACTGCTTAATGCAGGTCAACACACTAAATCTACTGACTGTTGCATAGACATAGAAATAAATAAAGTTGTGTTTGGAAAACCGTTCATCATAAAAAAAATTCATATTCCACTAGTATTAAATTGAAAGATAAAGATAATTAATTTAACTTGGCTTTCTTGAAACTGGATCTAGTTATACGTCACTGATCCAAAAGATGGCATGACCGTAGATGTTTTATATACATATATTTTTTATTATTATTTAACATCAGGTGTTATATTCCAAGTCAGGTGTGGAAACAAACAAATATGGGACACAAACCGTGTTTTGTCTACATGGTCTAGTGACCGTGGCGTGTAGATAGGAAAGACGCACAGCGACATTCATATTATTAACGCGACAGCCGAACAGGTGAGTAAATTTCCAATTTATTTGCATCTTTTTTTTTAAATTATGTAATTATAAATATGAATGATTCAAGTTTATTTCTTATAAAATATATATTAGACAGAATCATGAGAATTTTGTTATATATGTACCTGTAAATTACTCTGAGACTTGTTGCTGAACTGAAGCGCTCTGCTTGAGAAAATTCGGACAGATAAAGCAGAGAGTCTAACAGATCCATGTGCGTTGTAAAATTCTTCGATTTACGCCGCCCGGTCGCTCCTTTTTGTCGCTCAGTTCAGGTATTATTTCTTATATTTTATGTTTTCCCCAGCTTTAGAAATGATATTCAATTATTTAACATGCATTAATTCACATGTAACTGCTATTCCTGGAATTATATTTTTCTTTCAACGGTTCCAAAAGGGTGTTTGAGGGTATGAAGTTTCAATGAAGGACTGTTTCGAACCGTTAAAAAGTAGGATTGTATGAGTAAAATATATATTTAATTATCGGATACCATTCTAAAAGTGAAGTTAAGCATAAATAACACGGATAAATACATGAAGTAAGCGACAAAAAGCCTTCGACTTAGGGGACGACCATTTGATTCTGGGGGGGGGGGGGGGATAGCAGATTTTGGAAATAAATAATCTCTCCCTGAAAATGTTGAAAATGAATAATCCGTCCTCCTCTGCAAAGAAAATGAATAATCTGACCTTGACTTATGATATTTAAATATTGTGAAAATACCCGGTACCTTTTTATTTTAACCTCAGAATCTTCAATTCAGCATTTTTTTTGGCTCGCTTCGCTCGCCATTTTAGAACCAAATAATATTTAAGATCAGATTACCAGACTGGAAACTTGTAGTCAGTTGATCAACATGACAATGTGCACTCAGTAGATGTGATGAATCTCTTTAAATACAAGCAAATTCTTAAACACCACAAAAGATAAATTTTCTTGTCAAAGAATTATACTCCCCGATAAATTAATTACAAAGTATACAGTGGCGGATTTAAGGAAGGCATACATGTGTATGACCCCTCCCATTAAATTTCAAAGTATGATATGAATTATATTAATATTGCCATACTTTAGTACAATACCAATATTTTTGTGCCTAGTTTTACTCTTAAAATACAAAAAAGCCCAATTTAAGAGCTTCAGGGGGCTTCACCCCCTGGGCTTCCTTCATCCAAAGTATGATATGACTAGTATTAATTATGTCATACTTTGGAACATAACTAACCAATTCCTATAGATAATTGTGCCTGGTTTTACTCTTAAAATACACAAATACCCACGAGCTTCAGGGGGCTTCGCCCCCTGGACCCCCTTCATTCAAAGTATAATATGACCAATATTAATAATGTCATACTTTGCTACATAATAACCAATACCACTATAATTGTACTTATTAGGTTTTACTCTTAAAATACCCGAAAACCCAAGAGCTTCTGGGGAATTTCCCTCCCTTGGCCTCCACCAGTGCTTCGCCCAGGACCCAATGGGGGCCTTAAGGCGGCCCCAGACCTGTTGCCTGAACGAAGTTATACACGCCCCCCCCCCATCCTGAATCCGCCTATGGTATATCAATGATTAGTCTTTTAGAATCAATCGATCAAGGTACCGTAAGACAAAAAAGAAAATAAATAATCTGTCCTCAATAATCTTGAAAATAAATAATCTGTCCTTGACAGGCATGAAAATAAATAATCCGTCTCAAAAAAAATTTGCCAGCCCCCCCCCCCCCCCCCTCAGAATCAAATGGTCGTCCCCTTAAATAGAAGGTTTTCACAACGCTGGGGTCTGCAGCTCTTTTTTTTTGTTGTTTTTTTTTTGTTTTTTTGTTTGTTCCGATATTTATCAAGCAGAGGGCTACAGTTCTGCAACTAATTTGAGTTGGGTTCTGTTTGACCATTTTTCTCATGAACCTTTATTTCCGTGATGTGTGTATTGCAGGTGAAGCATGTCACTTGTTATAGAAAAAACAGCTCTATTAGTTATTAATTAAAGGTAATAAACCATTTATAAACAAAAGTATAGTCTGGTCATCCAGTTTGTGGGTTATAGACAAGAACGTTACAGAACAGACAACAAAAATGAAATTAAGAAGAAAGCCAATTATGTTTATCAAAAATTAACATATTTATTGATAAGTACAATAATTCAGCACAGTGTGAAGCAACCATACAAACATCTACAACAGTAGTATAAAGCGCCTAGATAGGCGGGTCAACTGAGTGCACTTTTTATGCAAATGAGGTCAAAAATGGCGAATTCTGATTGGCTGAGCCCCTGGGTGGGTCAACTGAGTGCAGTCCTAACCCTAACTCTAACCCTAGCCCTAACTAACCCTAACCCCTAGCCCTAACTAACCCTATCCCTAACTAACCCTTAGCCCCCCTTAACCCTAATCCCCTTAACCCTAACCCTAACCCCCCTAGCCCTAACCCCCTTTAACCCTAACCCTAACCCTAACCCTAATCCTAACCAGTTCAAACTGGATTTTTTTACTCCAAGAACACTAACACACAACCCTAACCCTATTTTTATTCTAACCCTTACATTTACTTTGCCTCTTTTTAATCCCCTTTTTTCTACTGTTGCATCATCTTTTTAACCCCTCTTTTTAACCCTGTTGCATCACTTTTTAAGGTGTTGCATCATCTTTTTTTACCTGTATATAGCTTTAAATATAGTGTTTTACACTATACTGTAAGGACTGTGTGCAAAAAAAAATTAGGGTCGTGTGCAAAAAAAATAGGTTGGACTTACCTATGCATTGTGACGTCATCCACTGTATAAATACAATGTGATTATGACGTCATCCATTCATTTACATTCAAAGTCAAAGCCTAGCCAGTTCAAACTGGATTTTTTACTGAAAACAATAATAACCTGGATTTTTTTTACTAAAAACAATAACAACCTGGATATTTTTACTGAAAACAAGACAGATTATAACAAGAACACAGATTTTATTAAGAATCAAACTGGTTTATATAGCATTGGGTTGTTTAGGGTCGTGTGCATAAATAAGTTTGACTTACGTTTAATCGTACTGTATACGTCTCTGTACACAGTCTAGTCAGCAAGCTACCTATGCATTATGACGTCATACACTTGTAAAATTAAAGTTTCATTTTCACTTTTGTTTCTAAGAAGTGAACTTAGATTTTCAGAAAATGTAGGACTATCTTTTGTTTTTCCTCTCTTTTTCTTTTTTCCTGCTGTGAAGCTTTTCTTGAAAGCTGACAACGGAAGTTTCCTGCTGTGAATGTTGAAGCATTTTTGAAATATCCTTTCCGTAGACCTAACAGGTAAATTTTTGTTTAACATTTCCTATGACCTTTGTATTTAACCATGATTTATATGTAAAGTAATCATCCTCATTTCATGTGATTTACAGTTGTATAACCTGCATGTAACTCAGAGTGCATTTAATATTTCTATGTGAATGTTGAGAAATCAGAAAAATGTTCATTTTGTGGTAAACATCTTTTACATTTCTGTCCCTTTTAGTAAATATTCTTTACTTACATTGTAAGTTTAATTATGTATCACTGAATTGTATTTTTTTCAGTTTATTTCATTTATTTAACCTTATTGATATATTTGGATATCTTTGTTTGTCAATTTTTACATTTCATATGAAGGTCATCTTTGCATTTAATCAAAGTTATGTAAAGTTCTGTTTTGAATGTAAATGCTGTATTTATCCTCATTTCATGTGATTTACAGTTGTATAACCAGTGCATGTAACTCAGAATTTAATATTTCTATGATGGGTCATTTAAATCAGAAAAATGTTCACTAAATTTTGGTAAAATACATGGTATCTTTACATTTCTGTCCCTTTTGTCTGTAAATTATTGCTTTACTTACATTGTAAAGTGAGGTTAATTGTGTATCACTGAATTGTATGATTTTTTCAGGATCAGCTGAGATGTTATTTCACTGGATTATTTAATGGATAGGCTTATTGGGCATATATTTGGATATCTCTGGTAAGTTTTTCTTGTTTTTTAATTGTTTACATTTCCTATGAAGGTCATCTTTGCATTTAACCATGATTATATGGTTAATTTAATTACTGTGTAATACTTATGTGATCTGTTGTCTCTAACTTACATTCATATAAGCACACCCTTATTTAACCTAAAATATATTAACACATGATTAAGAGATCTTCAGAATATTAATAAGTCCTTTTGTATAAATTATGATATAATTTCATAATTCATTATGTATGTTACCCATTGAATTCAGACTTATTAAATGGTGATCAAAGAGATATTGATTGGGAATCTAATAAGAGAAAAGGGGGAATTTACACAAGATTAATCCTAAGTCATTTACTTTCTGTTTTGATTCTAAATATGTGTGATATATGGCATACATATAATTTCATTTTCACTTTTGTTTCTTGATAATGAGCTTTTCAAAAAATGAAGGACTACATGTTGTATTGTGATGATGCTAAAAAATGCATTTTTCTGTATGCAGTACTGACAGGTATTAAACTAAATTGAATCTGCTGTTAATAAAAAGTTTTTAGTGTCTAAATAATTAATCTGATAATCATTTTATTTGTGATATTAATACAGTAGTTGTGCTTGTTTATTATCTATAGATAACATGATGAACTTTTCTCATCTGGAGTTAATGTTAAAAACAATCTTTTGAGATTAAAAACAAATATTTTCATGATCTTTTTTGGCATATTGTATTTAAACATGCATTGTTTCATGCAGTACTCTGTCATATTAACAAAATGGTTTTATTTCTACAGTCATCAACATGGAAGATATGTTTTGTTCCTAACCATCTATAATCCATTCTCTATGAAGTTCAGACTGTCTGCTCTTCCTTTGGAAACACACAGTTAGTCAACTTAACATAAAAAAACAAAACAAACTTGAAGGTAAAGTTTCAATGATATACAATTGTAATTTTTATTTATTTATTTATTTACATATGCATTTTTATATTTTTGAATTGATAAGTAAATGATATATGATTTTTTAAATAAAAAGGGCTTGGTGGTCATGGTCATGTTAAGACTATATTGATCTCCTTTAGAAGAAGAGCTCCATAGAAAAATATACAAAAATGATAAGTTTTAAAACTAAAATGTATGAAATTTTTCTTTGCCAAATGAGAGTTAACAGCTGAAGATAGCCTATGTATAGAATAAGTGAAATATGGCTAATTTGTTAACCCCCAGCTTCCTTAATAGCATAGTTGGTAAAGATAGGAAGTTTTGACTTCAATTGCTGATGAATTCTGAATTTTCCTTTAATATTAACATTATATCAAAGGGAAAGAATACTATAATGTGGCTCATTAGGATGACCAGAAAAAAAATCTTAATGACCCTCTTGACTATGTATAAAGATTTTAACCTTATAACTGATGTAAGATTATCTGATTGTGTGGAATTAAAATTCCCTGAGTGCACAGGGACTGCTGTAAACCTTCTCCTGTTTATAAAAATATACCTTGGAGCATGACACTTTATTCATTTAAGGCAGGCCCACACTTTTACGGATCCGATTTTAATTTTACACACCAATATAAAATTTTGATTATCCTTATCTATTGAAAAAAAAAATCTTTTGGATGATTAAAAATAATTTAGCAAGTATATATTTGTTTATTATAGTGTCATTGTGCACACAAAGCATTTAATGTACATTATTTATAGGAATAACCACTTTGCACTCTGTCCATAGGATCTATATGTAATTTAGTATATACACAGACAGAGAATTCTTAATTGCCTTTATGGACCTAAAGCTTTTTCATTTTTTTAAACAAACTAACTTGAGATCTATTTATCTTTAATTTTTAGCCTATATCATCTTTTTAAATTTTATTCTTTTATACGTTTTGCGAAGAACGATTGAAAAAATAGATATTCAAAAAATGGGGGTATAGGTGTTCAAAAGGCTGTTTTGTAAAAATTTTCTGGTCAACCATAATAAAGTATGTTTTTTTGCTAACCTAAGATGTAACTCTAAATAATTGTGAAGAAAAAATAGCATATAAACATATAAGATTTTGAGAAATATTTAAAATAAAGATATTTTGAGCTTTTTCTCTGAAAGATTTTGACAGAATCAACATCAATTTTTTAGTGTTTTCAAATAGAAATTTCAAATATTTTCTTGACAAATGAATATTTATGATTTTCTTAAGTTTTAACAATAATTGGATGTGATTTGGTACATAGCTAAATAAAATATGACGTTACACTTCTATATGTTGAATTTTTGCTGTTGCATTTTTAGAGGTATATACTCCGAGACATGTATGAAAATTAACCTGCAAAGATATGTTTTCTATGGGTGTTTTAGTTAGATTATGACTTATTCAAGATTTTCAAATCAAAAAATAAAGAGTTTGACAGAAAATTCTGAGAGTATGGACCAACCTTAAGGTACTTTCAATATCATTTCTCTGAGTTTGTGATCTTTCTTTTTAATAATGTAGTAATGAATTCAAGTGTTATATCTTCTTTAACCTCATTAATATGTATGCTTCCAAAATCATAGATCTGTCTCTATAGTTTCTTCAGCTCTTTGAACACAAATACCCTGATTCAAACTTTTGAGGTAAATATCATAGAGACATCATAGATGATTATCAGAGTGTGTATCACAATCTTGACCATAAGGTCAATTTAAAATGGTCTAAGGCACAACAAATGAAAATGGGAATTAGTTTGACAGAATACATAATTCTATAATAAACAAACAATGGAAAGTTACTCTCATAATAAGCCTTAATGTCTTCCAAGACTTCAGTTTGGACTTCCTCCATTAATCCTTGTATCTTCTCCAATGGTTTTGTGGGCTAAAAATCATGTGTCTTTGACAATCTTTTTTTTTCTGACAACTGTTTTCTCTTATCATCTATAAACTTGACTTCTTCTCTAGTCAAAGGTCTTTCAGGGTAATCCAAGTAATTCTTACCCTCTTTTGGTAATAAATGGTTATATTCCTCATTGGATTCTTCTACAATCAAGGGTCTTTCTATGTAGTCTCTGACAACATTGGCATCACCCTTTTCTGGACATAATTGGTTATATTCTTCTTGAGAAATGATCTCAATAGTGCCATCTTTTTTTTTATTTTAACTGGTATACATCTGTCTACATCTTTCTCTGAAAGAACTCTCTTTCCAAACTGAATTTTACTCATTCCTTTACTATTTTCTTTACTGGAGGTGTTACCCATGGTTAATATGAAAAGTCAAAATCTGATGTTACACCTTATTTTTATACCCTTTTTGTCTATATTTAGAATTCCATCAAGCTTATATTATATAACATGTTTTTTCAACTAAGACATTATTGTTTTTATTTTTCAGGATTCTCTAGTGAGGGGTTATGGAAATGATCTATGTCTACTCTCAGAATGGTGAAAGACTCTCAGATTATGCAAAGACTAACAGAATATCCTCTCTTGAAACACTGAAACAAGAAAATCAATCAGGAGTTGGATGGGGGATTTAAGAAGCACATAGATAAATATGATTTCCAACGAATTTAACCAGTACTATCAAAGATTGTGGTTTACAGGATGACAAAGAAAGGACCCAGGATTGTATCTTTTACTGTTAGACACTGACTATGGATAAGATGTAGCCATTTATCAAACTGAGATCTAGTCAAATCAAGTATTGAAAACATGATTTTCTGATAGCATGAGCTCTTTAAAAATCAATTCTCACGAACTTCAAAGTATCTAAATGTGACTTTTATTTTGACCATTTCATATTGAAGACTGTTGTTATGTATGAGAAGTATACATTTAAACCTTTTATTTTGCATCTTATTTCTATAACCCCCTAGAAATTACACAGATATCCAGATGCTGGATTTAATGTTATTATTTAACTTTCCTGGAATTGTAAATATATTTTGTTTGTGTATGTATCATGTTTAATTTTGAATTTAAAATTGGTCTCAATAAGACCCCCAATAAAGATGCAAGTGTTACATAATCTGTGGTTTAATAATATCTTGAATATCTTTATCATACCATATTCATCATACTAATTACATATAGAATGGCTGTAGGAATACACTTTGTTGTTTAGGACACTTTGTCAAGGTCAAAGCATAAGATTATTGAGATGACTTCTTTGACAATAATTTGTAACTTACAAACTTCACATCATAAGTACACAGATGAAGAATCAGTAAGATATTTCTATAGATTTTTTGGATCATTTACTCCTGGGTAAAAGTTAGTTACTGAGATTACTGATTTGAGTCCTGTAATGCAATAACTTAAACATTGTGTAATAACTTATAGACTTTATAAAGATTAGGTGCAAATTCTTAGGACAGGAATGAAATGTTAATCAAATGTACAATGTTCAAGGGTGTTTATATGACTATTACTATGTAAAACCTAGGGTTTCTGTAAAAATTCTATATTCACTACATAGATAAAGACCTGTATAATATATATTTTAAACTATGATGAAGGAAAAAAAAGGTCAAAGTTCTCCCCTTCATCTCTTTCATATTCTGTCATACACAACAAAAGATAAATTGCAGTCATATGACAAACTGAGGTCTAATCAAATCCTAGAATTGATATTGTGATTTTCTGATAGTATGAGATCTTCAAAAAAATATTTCCCAGACTTCAAAGTATCTAAAATGTGACTTTTATTTTTACCAATTCATATTGAAGACTGTTGTTATGTATGATTTTTATATACATTTAAACCTTTTATTTTTCATCTTATTTCTACAACCCCTAACAAATTACACAGATGTTTAAAAGCTAGATTTGGTGTAATTATTACTTTCCTTGAACTGTAAATACATTTTGTTTGTGTATGTGTGTGTCCTATTTCGAATTTAATAGGTCTCAATAGGACCCCCATAAAGATGTAAGTGTCCCCTGATCTGTGATGTAATAACATCTTGAATATTTCTATCAACCATTAGACTTCATGCTTACTACACAAAACAGGTTCGAGTAATACACTTAGTTTTATAGGACACTTTATCAGGGTCATGCAAAGCATGAGATTATTGAGATAACTACCTTTGACAATAATTTGTAACCTGCAAAATTCACATCATAAGTAAAGAAAGATTCGGAGATTTTCTATAGATTTTTGGATCATTTTTTCTCCTGGGTAAAATTTAGTTGTTGTAACTTTAACATTTTGTGATAACCTAGAGACTTTATATCAGCTCTATTGGGTGGCATAGCATATTCTTTGGAAAGAACTGAAATGTAAATCATATGCACTATGTTCAAGGATGTTTAAAGACTATTACTACGTAATACCTTAGAATTCTGTAAAAAAATTTATTATCACTGCGTAGATAAAGACTGGTTGGAATAATTTATGTTTTGAAATAAGGTTTAGGGAAAAAAGTCAAGAATATGGATATGACTTTTATTCAAATGTTGCAGTACAGCAACTCTGGTGATTTACATACCTTCAGTCATAAATACATGTAGACAGGTATTGGGAAGACTCCTCTAGATTTTGAAATTTATAATTCAGAAGTATAGAATTTTTTTTTTAAGTTTGAAAGATTAAATGGCAGCATATCATTTGGTTGTGAATTAAAAAATAAATCCAAACATATACATCCTTGGATGATAATTGTAGTATTTTATCAATTCCTGGACTTCTGTCTTGATATCATCCTTTAATGTCCTTAAAATTTTAATGACTGTCTTTTAGTTTTAGTTGAATTAGTTTCTTTTCTACATGTGAAAATGACATCATCCAAAGAAGTTCTTCATCTGCATGTTATATGAAGAAGACAATTTTCATCACAGTGAAAGAGATTGTTTTGTTAAACATAATGCATTGATACACAAATATACTTTTAGATTTTTAATAGCTAGGGTTCATATTTCTTAATATGGATTGCTAAGTACTGTTGATTTCAATTTTTTTGTGAACAAAGACATACTAGTAGAAAAAAAAATGTACATGATGTATTAGAAAAGCATGTGTAAACCTGATGACTTTATAATTGCTGATTAAATCAATTATGAGTTTCATCTTTGTTACATTGTAAACATTTCTAAGTAGGGCACACATCAGAAACTCTTAAAATTCTGAGTATCAGGGTTTAACACAAGAATTCCAAATGATTTTTGGACGCTTTTTATGTATTAAAAAAAAGACAAAACAGAATGTTTGTTCACAGATGTTCCAATGGAAAACAACCACAAAGAAATGATTTGATATGTTCTTTATGTGATTCATGTAAAATATATTTTTAATTTGTACCCTAACATTTATCTTTTGCATACATACATTTTTTGTGGAGAATTTCTCATAACTTTGAAAAAGTAGTCTAATTGTATAATATGGTTAACTTAAAATTTTGTAGACTTTATTAAGTTGTACATGATGTGTTACACATCTTACATATGTAACCATTTTCATTTCAGGGCATTCAGCATATATTGTGGTTTTGTCTTAAATTTGTTTGTTCATGTAATCAAAAATTTGAGAATACTCAAATTAGGTAATGCATGAGAGAATAGGCAAGAAAATCAGGTTTAAGGAATGGTTTTTACTATTTATAAGGGGTTAATCTATATATTGAATTTATAAGTGCATTTAGTCTATACAATTAAGGCATTTGTGTATGAAATAAACTTGCATTTGAGCATTTTAAGACAATTGTAAACATTACTTTAACCAGTTTAAAAAATGATTAGATTCACTGTCAGCATGTTATTTCTTGTAAAATAAATGAGAAAACAAACAGTTTTATTTGACTCAGTTTTTTTAAATGTAAATAAGAAGCATTGGAAGTTGGGAATATTTCACAAAGTTGATTGAGCATAATTCTCACTAGGACAGTAGGAGTATTATGATTTAAGCATTAAAGAAACCATTTCATATTTCAATATACAAACCATGTTTAGTCATGCAGTATATAGTTTACACTTGCCAAAAAGTAAATGGTACAAGTCACAATATAAAAGCGGGGGTTAGAGTCAGAGGAATCTCGGATTAAAATAAAATGACTATCAGATTAATTATTTAGACACTAAAAAACTTTTTATTAACAGCAGATTCAATTTAGTTTAATACCTGTCAGTACTGCATACAGAAAAATACATTTTTTAGCATCATCACAGTACAACATGTAGTCCTTCATTTTTTGAAAAGCTCATTACCAAGAAACAAAAGTGAAAATGAAATTATATGTATGCCATATATCACACATATTTAGAATCAAAACAGAAAGTAAATGACTTAGGATTAATCTTTTGTAAATTCCCCCTTTTCTCTTATTAGATTCCCAATCAATATCTCTTTGATCACCATTTAGTAAGTCTGAATTCAATGGGCAACATACATAATGAATTATGAAATTATATCATAATTTATACAAAGGACTTATTAATATTCTGAAGATCCCTTAATCATGTGTTAATATATTTTAGGTTAAATAAGGGGTGCTTATATGAATGTAAGTTAGAGACAACAGATCACATAAGTATTACACAGTAATTAAATTAACCATATAATCATGGTTAAATGCAAAGATGACCTTCATAGGAAATGTAAACATTTAAAAAACAAGAAAAACTTACCAGAGATATCCAAAATATATGCCAAATAAGCCTATCCATTAAATAATCCAGTGAAATAACATCTCAGCTGATCCTGAAAAAATCATACAATTCAGTGATACACAATTAACCTCACTTTACAATGTAAGTAAAGCAATAATTTACAGACAAAAGGGACAGAAATGTAAAAGATACCGTGTATTTTACCAACATTTAGTGAACATTTTTCTGATTTAATAGAATGACCCATCATAGAAATATTAAATGCACTCTGAGTTACATGCACTGGTTATACAACTGTAAATCACATGAAATGAGGATAAATACAGCATTTACATTCAAAACAGAACTTTACATAACTTTGATTATATGCAAAGATGACCTTCATATGAAATGTAAACAATTAAAAAGAAGACAAACTTACCAGAGATATCCAAATATATGCCCAATAAGGCTATCCGTTAAATAATCCAGTGAAATAACATCTTAGCTGATCCTGAAAAAATCATACAATTCAGTGATACACAATTAACCTCACTTTACAATGTAAGTAAAGCAATAATTTACAGATAAAAGGGACAGAAATGTAAAAGATACCATGTAACATTTTACAAGAATGCACATTTACTCAGTGAACATTTTTCTGATTTAAATTCAATCATAGAATGACCCATCATAGAAATATTAAATGCACTCTGAGTTACATGCAGGTTATACAACTGTAAATCACATGAAATATGGATAAATACAGCATTTACATTCAAAACAGAACTTTACATGTCTATGATTAAATGCAAAGATGACCTTCATATGAAATGTAAACAATTAAAAAGAAGACAAACTTACCAGAGATATCCAAATATATGTCCAATAAGCCTATCCATTAAATAATCCAGTGAAATAACATCTCAGCTGATCCTGAAAAAATCATACAATTCAGTGATACACAATTAACCTCACTTTACAATGTAAGTAAAGCAATAATTTACAGACAAAAGGGACAGAAATGTAAAAGATACCATGTATTTTACCACAACTTAGTGAACATTTTTCTGATTTAAATTCAATCATAGAATGACCCATCATAGAAATATTAAATGCACTCTGAGTTACATGCAGGTTATACAACTGTAAATCACATGAAATGAGGATACAGCATTTACATTCAAAATAGAACTTTACATATAAATCATGGTTAAATACAAAGATGACCTTCATAGGAAATGTTAAACAAAAATTTACCTGTGGAATAGGTCTGTCGGAAAGGATATTTCAAAAATGAACACGGTCTCAACATTCACATGGCAAGAATGCATCAGGATGATTACTTCCGTTGTCATAGAGAAATTGAGCTTTAAACAAGAAAAGCTTCACAGCAGGAAAATCATAGAAAAAGAGAGGAAAAACAAAAGATAGTCCTACATTTTCTGAAAATCTAAGTTCACTTCTTAGAAACAAAAGTGAAAATGAAAGTTTAATTTTACAAGTGTATGACGTCATAATGCATAGGTAGCTCGCTGACTAGACTGTGTACAGAGACGTATACAGTACGATTAAACGTAAGTCAAACTTATTTATGCACACGACCCTAAACAACCCAATGCTATATAAACCAGAGCTTTGATTCTTAATAAAATCTGTGTTCTTGTTATAATCTGTCTTGTTTTCAGTAAAAATATCCAGGTTGTTATTGTTTTCAGTAAAAAAAAATCCAGGTTGTTATTGTTTTCAGTAAAAAATCCAGTTTGAACTGGCTAGGCTTTGACTGTGAATGAATGAATGCGTGACGTCATAATCACATTGTATTTATACAGTGGATGACGTCACAATGTATATAATTTTTTTTTTGCACACGGCACTTTATAGATGTAACATGTATATAAGAAAATGTAGGTAAAAGGTTTTTTTTTGCACACGACCTTAATTTTTTGCACACGGTCCTTTACAGATGATGCAACAGGTATAAAAAGATGATGCAACACGTATAAAAAAAGATGATGCAACAGGTATAAATAGATGATGCAACACGTATAAAAAGATGATGCAACAGGTATAAAAAGATGATGCAACACGTATAAAAAGATGATGCAACACGTAGAAAAAAGATGATGCAACAGGTATAAAAAGATGATGCAAAGTAAATGTAATTGAATGTATGTATTTTTCATTCTGAATAAAAATAACCTTGTTCTAGTATTGTGTGTTAGTGTTCTTGTTTTCAGTAAAAAAAAATCCAGTTTGAACTGGTTAGGCTGGCTAGGCTGTCTAGACTGTGAATGAATGCGTGACGTCATAATGACATTCTTTTGAGTCGCTGCCAAAAAACTCGTAGTACCAACGTATAGTAGAATGTAAACACAGTGTAAGCGCCCCCCATATTTTAGGGGATAGGTTAGGGGTTAGGGGTTAGGGGGATTAGGGCTAGGGGTTAGGGTTAGAGGGGATAGGGTTAAGGGGATTAGGGATAGGGTTAGTTAGGGTTAGGGGTAGGGTTAGGGTTAGGTTAGGGTTAGTTAGGGCTAGGGTTAGAGGGGTTAGGGTTAGGACTGCACTCAGTTGACCCCTTATCCTCCCAACCAATCAAAATCCTCCATTTTTTTTGACCTCATTTGCATAAAAAGTGCACTCTTTGCGAATGACTACTGCTTTGTTTACACTTTCTTATTGGTAATTTATTTTTAAGAAAAATATTTAACTCGCATTTGAATAATGAACTCGCACATTTGCTAAAATTTTATCTACAGCAAAAATTTCCATATTTATGGAAAAGGTCACTTGACAAATTAAGACCGCGGAACATTAACTGGCAAAATTGGAAATATACAGCTTACGTCATTTCTATCTGTTACAATGAAAACATTCAATGATAGACAATGAAAATGGGCGGGTACACTTCCAAACGGACGTGGGGAAAACATCGGATTGAAATTACAGATCGAATTTTATTTTCAAAGCAAAGAGTGAATGTATGATCCCACAATCAACTAATTTCAACTCCCAAGTACATATTGTTTGAAGTTCACATTAATATGAGTTTTAGCTTATAATTTTATGAACACGAAAGATCAAAGAAGACAAAGATTATTTTTCAGGAGATATTTGATTCTAGAAGGGGGGAGGGGGGGAGGTAAAAAATTGTCGAGTCAGGTCATGGTTTAACATGACAATATACTTTGTTTCTAGGATTATAAGAGTGCACGAGTTTTATACTTATTCTCATTGAACATGTTGAAAACTGTTGAACAACTTTATTTAAAAATCGTTCAGCCCCCCCCCCCCCCAACACAAAGATATACATATATTTACCAAACTAAAATGAAATATTTGTCCCTTAAATATTAATTTATTCAAAACACTGGACCCAAAAAAATTCAAACTGTACCAAAATTGAAATTATTTGTCTTCTGGGTCAATCAGTAATAATGTGCCTTCTAGCGCAGCTGAGGTCTATTGAAAATGAATTTCGATCTGCAATTTCAATCCGATGTTTTCCCCACGTCCGCGTCGAATTGTACCCGCCCATTTCATTGTCTATCACTGAATGTTTTGATTGTAACAGATAGAAACATGACGTAAGCTGTATATTTCCAATTTTGCCAGTTAATGTTCCGTGGTCTTAAACATATTTTTATAATAAAAGAAGAGGGTACAGTTTGAGCTTTATTATGCCCTAAAAATTTAATGTTCTTATAAAGTTATGAAATTGGCCTTAACAATAGTTGAGAAGATGAGTATGATAAATCATTAAAGAATATGGCATAAAGGAGGGCCTTTCTGGAAATATGACGTCATTAATTTGGTACATTTCTAAGTTTAATGCAAAAAAGTCCCAAAATATCTCATTTCTTTGCTTAATTATTATGATCAAAATGTTATGATTGATATAAAGAAAATATTTAAAAATTATCTGTGGAAAGAGCATGTACTCTTTTGAAGGGATCTAAAAAGAGGGTAAATTTTCATAAGTTAAAATGTTCCTGCATTTATTGATCATAGATAAATGGCACTGCCAGTCTTCTTCAGAATGTATTTAACTATTGAAAGATATGCCATAGTTACAAAATGATTCAAAGTCTCATCTACTAGTACATCATGCTAAACATAATTTAAAGAATTTTTCTTACTCAACTTCAATAGATTCCACTATCCGTGCTAACCGCTGACGTTCTCCTGTCAACAGAGCTGCCGATTACCTTGTGACAGGTTCAGGTTCGGATGTTATATTATCTGAAGTGTGATGTAACATCAGCCTCCGTCCGGGTCCTAAGCATGCTTACATTGTGTAAAGTCGACATGCCGTCCGCCGGAAACCCGACGTAATCCGGTACATCTTATACCTTATTACGGTAAATAAGCTTGCATTTAACAAATATATGCATGGTTTAATATTTAGTTTATTTAAAAGGAGAAAAAAAACTATCCCAATATTTGAAATTGAAGAAGCTTTTGGCAAAAAGTTTTATTTAGGATATTGCAAGGGGGGGGGGGGGGCAACAAAGTAACCAACAAATTATAACTTAATTTTTTCATCTTACGCTGTCAACTATCATTTGGCAAAGAAGAATTTCATACATTTTAGTTTAAAAAGTTGATAATTTATTGTAAATCTATATATAGAGATCTTCTTCTAAAGGAGATCAATATAGTATAACCGATAGAAATTTGTAACGTATTTACAATGAAACACTGGGATCGTACCTGGTCAGTTCCAGGGTTTGGGGTGTTCAACATCAACTTATTTAAATTTTATTGATATGATTTAAATGGACTGCCGAAATATACAAATATGTCCAAACCTTATCATGGTAAATTAAAATCAACAGTAAATCACTATAACAATCGGAGGCAAGCGAAAATTAAATGGGTAGTCTTAACCTAACATTTAAGTAAGATGCCCAGTCGCCCTCGGACTACCGCATTTATATACTGTAGGATGCCTTATTCAGGACGGAAAGTATATATGATAGCCCTTCAACCACTACAACTCATTGTAAGATGTCTTATTAAGGTCGGACAATGAGTATAGCAGCCTGGACGGACTCGTCAGCCAATGCAGACGAGACACAACAAACTATGGCTAGCCTCTATGTTGGAGGTCAACCAAGTTTGTGGCAGGCCTTAACTGGGCTAGCCTTCCAAATCCACTCTCTAACTGTAAAACAGGCGAGGGATATAACACGCGAATTCTTATTTCACGCCACTCGTCTTCTATCCTTGGCTGCATCCAACGAACTACCCCCTGATCACTGCGGAGTCTCGGTATTCAAGGTATCACACCGGTAATTGACCAATCAAATGTAGGTCCATATATATAAAATTTATTTTCTTTTCTTTTGAAACATTTTTCTATTTTCTTCCAAGCCATTTTTACAACTTTGGTACCTGTGCCTAGTAAATTTTATGTACTTTGTGAATAAATAGATGTTTTTGACAGGAACTATTTTTTAGGGCATAGGAGGCTTGTTACAACGCACTTTGCAAAAATACGCACATTCAAAAAAATTTCAAAGTGCGTTAAAATTTGGGACCAAGCTAACGCACTTTGAAAAACATAATTTTTTTTCAAAGTGCGTTAATATCGACCATATTAACGCACTTTGAAAAAAAATGTAAAGATTGATCAATATTCCTTCAAATAATCGGTATGATAAAAAAAAACCCAGATTCTGGTTTAATAATTTTTTCATGATAAAGTCACAGAAGGATCTGAGATATTGACGTTTTAAATATTTAAGGTTTTCATAAAATAAAAGGGAAAATTCAAGGGTCTTGAAAAAAGAGTGACGATTGTTTAAGTTCATTAATTCGTTTCTTCTTTTTTTTAATTCTAGTCTTTGATAAGTAGATGTAAAGGTGTATAGGGGGCACTAACAGAGGACAGCTTCAAGCAACTTAGCATTTATCATAATAAAAAGGGGCCAATTTGATTGTTCAAAACTATGAAAATTCTTTCTCTCTATACGTTTTACTGTACTTAAAAATTTCTTGTCTTCATCTGTTTTAATTAACTCATTTATTATGGAAAGTTTTCAACGTCATACCAGTTAAGTAAATACATGATTATATGAATGCTTTAAGTATAGCATAGACATCGAGACTGGACGAAGGGCCAGGGGAGGGGGTGGGGACTAAGCCCCCCACTTATTTTGGAAAGATATATACATCGTATAAGCATTGAAAATGCAGCGTCCCCTTTTTAGGTTTATTGCTCCCCTCCCCCGTTTGTTACCGACACCTATGTATTGGAAAGATAAAGATTTGGACTGAGGGATCTTATACCCATCTTCTCCTCTTTTCGACAGGAGTAAATCAATTCATTTTTGAGGTTAGGGTTAGGCTTAGTTTTTTGAAAGATAAATAAGTAAAATAACAAATAAAAT